GGTATAAAATAGATCTTATTTATCTCTCCATGTAAAAGTTTCTCTGAAATAGAATAATGCATCATTTAAAGAAATACAATAGAAAAATGACTCAGCATTATTAAAGAATTTGAAAATATGTAATATAGGTCTTTAGTATGGCTGAAAACGCATCTGTTCTTTTATCTATATATAAGGCTGTTTTTATGACTTAAGATTAGGGTTTCACTGGTAAAATTAGAATTAACCAATGTGACAATAACTTTTTAGGATGCCAAATGTATGTTTATATTATTCATTGTAAATCAATACCAAATAAAGTTACAGCACTAAAATGGCAGGTTTTAAAGGAATCATAACAAAAGCTGTTTTGTCCATATGAAGGTATCAGACATCCCATATGCCGTAAAGTAAGCTTTAAGAAAATAAACATCTTAAATTATATAACACTTGGACATTTCAGCAAATCACTTCACCTATTTAATGCAAATGGTTCATCCTGCTTATCTTCGAGTGCTGGAAAGTCCAGCGCTCCCATCAGGCATTGTATCAGAACAATTTACTCCCAGTATCAATTGTTTGGTGAGATAGTTTTATGATTTTGTTGCATTAAGAATTTGAAGAAATTTTTCTTCACTAACTACAGCAGTTTCTGTAATAGTCACAAATGATTTACAATAACCTCTTCTCTGAAAGTCTAAGACTCAGGCTGACCTGGCAATCTCACAATAGCAAGACACATTCATTTACAGCATAAAGGGATAAGAGTTTAAGACTCTTTGGACCCTTCAGCCCTGGCTGGTAGAGGGAGCAAGATGAGCTTCCAAAGAGAAGACGGTGCCTGATGTCATTCTGTTGCAAATCCAGATGAAGAGCTCCATATAGAGTCCCATCCAGCTCACCTCAGCCAAAAAGACGTCTGCCGTAACAAGGAATGGGGAGTGCAATGAGAGAGGACTGTGTTGGGGATCAGACGGCACATCCCTATGTGCCTTAGCTCTTCACTTGAAGTGGAGGGACAGACAATAGTGTCTCTGAATATGCCCCCTTCAACCTTTTTTTTTTT